TTGCTTCACCTTTTGTACTAGCGAGAATGGAGTAATTCGGGCTGAGTGTGGTACTTGAATAAAGATGGTTCCTCAGTCTTTTAAGTCTTTTTTAGCTTTTGAGTCCTGTAGTCTGGTTATTTACTTAGTTCTATATGATAACAGAACAGTCATTAGAGAGTGAAGGAAGATGCGCCTTCCTTTCAAACAGAAGCTGTCATGAGCAGGGTTGTCCGGACAAAGTTCCAGTGGCTGAGTAACCGCTTGAAGAAATCCGAACTTGGGTGAAAGCTAGCATTCCAGATCCATGAGAATAAGGGTTAAGTATCTACATTTCAGTCAGAATCTCAAAACATGAATCCTGAAGCTAAAACTACTCTGCTCAGACCCAGCTGGCCAACTTTAATATGAGTGTCCCTCACTGGAATGTGCGACTTTTCGTGAGTGATTTATTGAATCAGTCTTTCTTGAATGCACCCTGGGAGATGGATTCAGATTATGGATTGAGAAATTTTACTCTGATGGAAAAGTCGCATCCTGACGTGTGCCTTTATGAACTATTCACAGAACCTGCATTCATCCATTTAGTCAGCAAATATTCCTGGAGTGCCTGCAACCATACGAGGTGCTGGGGATAAAACAGCAACAGAATGACATCCTTGTACTCGAGAGAGGATTCCAAGATCCTAAGGGCTGGGGCTGGGGACGGTTATTCCTTTCTTTGGGTGCTCAGAGAAGCTTCTGTGATGAGGTCAGTGACATTTGAGCTGAGACCTGAAGAAAGGGTAGATATAGTAGATATTTGGGGGCAGAGCCTTCCGGACAGATGAAACAGCAAAGAATGTCAACGTGGCTTGAAGCAGGTGAGGTCACAGAAGTGTGGGGCAGGGGCAGATCATGGAGGGCCTTGCAGGCCATTTTAAAGGATGTAAGTCCTGAATGAGGTAAGGGGCCATTTGGGGGTTTGGAGTAGAGGCGAGGCATTATCACACTGGCCTTTCCTGAGAACACTGGCTGTTCTATGTGAACTGGGGAGCAGGAGAAGAGGAGGCGAGGAGGCAGTTGGGAGGTCACGGCAATGGGTTTTGGTGGCTTGGACCCTTGGCAGTGCAGAGGAAGAGATGTATTCTGGAACAATTTCAGAGGTACAGCCGAGGGGATTTGCTGATGGGTTGGATACAGGGTATGAGAGAAAAACTGCAGTTAAGGACTCCAAAGGTTTTCAGAAGCTGGAAGTTGGCTGGAGGAGCAGATACGAGAGAAGTTGGGAGTCTGGTTTTGCTCTCACCAAGTGTAAGTTGCTTCTGAGACCCCCTGTGGTGATGTGGTAGACCTATCCTGAAGATCAGTAGGGAGGTTCAGGCTGGAGACATAAATACAGGAGCCACGAGGATAGGGGTCTTACTTAAAGCTCAGACTGGAGATCACATAGGAAGTGAATGTAGGTAAAGACCCAGACAGAGGACCAAGCTCTGGGACATTCCCATGGTAGAGAGGTCAGCGGAATGAAGAGGAACCAGCCAAAGACTAGGTAGGAGCAGCCAGTGAGGTGGGAACAGAATCCAGACAGCAGTCCCATCGGTCAACTGAAAAAGCGTTTAATTAAGAAGGGACTTGGAAGCTGCCAAATGGTGCAGAGAAGGAAAGGTGAGCACCGGCTGTGAGCAGGCACTGGGCATACAGCGTGAGCTCGAGCGCCAGGCACTTGGTCTGCGTTCTTGCTTTTTTGTGGAATGATGATAATCCTTGCTTCAAACTACTCATAGTTTAGAGAAAGAGCTCACATGTGCAAAGGCATTTAACCCAGCCAGGAAGCTTCTCTGAGGGAAGGTGGGGCTTCATCAGCTGAGTCTTCGGTGGGTTTCTATGTGCAGGCCTCTTCTCTCTATTCTGGATTATTGGGGTCATCCCCCCCCGCCCCCAGGCTCCCTAAGAAGTGATCCACATCTGAGAAATGAGAAAGAAACAGAGGAAGCAAGTGACTGCTCTCTCTGATCAAAGGACAGAACCACAGACAAAGAAAAGACCTGGGAAAAAGCAAGAATGGGATAGCTCTTCAAAAGTGGTTTAGAATTCAAGTTTAATAAATTCCCTTCTGCCCAAGGAACTGGGCTTTCCTTAGGAAAAGCTGCTGTAATGCACGGATGGCCTCAAGAGGCCTCCCTTTCCTTGAAATGCACTGCTTCCATGCCGCAGGAGGCAAGAGCTCCTCCGAAGCCCAGCCCGGGTTGCCTAAGGCCAGCACCAAATTCGGCAAACAATGGACTAAAACTTTTAAGAAATCAAAGCGCCCCTTTACCGATAACTTAGTTTATCAGCTTAAAAAGTGAAAAACCATAGGGCAATGCTGAGTAAACAAGTATTGTGAAGAGTAAGGAGGACTGTGGTGTCGAGGTATTTAGTATTTAGGGGATGATCCCGACTTAGCTCTTTGGTGACTATCTTATTAAGCATTCCAGTTTGAGGAGCAACTTATCAAGTGAGCATAATATTAATAATAGCTAATATTTATTAGGTGTTTAGTGTGCTCCAAGCCTTTTTACAGTATTAAGTTACCCAACAATATAAGGAAGATACTGTTACCCTGAATACTAATAATCCTTCGAGGTAGGTACTTGCACAAAGAATTTGTGGCTTAGGGAAATTAACAATTGGTCCAAGGTCACCCCTTGTGAGGGGCAGAACTGGGATATGAACATATACCTAACTCCACGGCTACCTACTCTGCAGAGCCTATGGCACATGGATTCGTGAAGGTATAAAAAATGTTACTAAGAAATGGTTTCTTAATTTGAAAACATACAGTGGTTCTTTTATTTTTTTTTAAAGATTTTTATTTATTTATTTGACAGAGATCACAAGTAGGCAGAGAGGCAGGCAGAGAGAGAGGAGGAAGCAGACTCCCCTGCTGAGCAGAGAGCCCGATGCGGGGCTCGATCCCAGGACGCTGGGACCATGACCTGAGCCAAAGGCAGAGGCTTTAACCCACTGAGCCACCCAGGCGCCCCTAAACATACAGTGGTTCTTAACCGGGAATGAGTCAGATTCATCTGAGGGGATTTTAAGAAGAATACAACTGCCCAAGCCTTTTCTGGGAACAATCTATTCATTGGTTTGGGGTGGGGGGTAGGGATCAGCTCTGGAATCTGTTTATAAGTTCAACACCTGAACTTAAATCTTACGAGTACCCACCCTTGGTAGGGAACCACCATAGGGAGCTGCACGGGTGCACAGTGGCTAAATTTATCAGGCAGAACAGCCCAGTAGGACCCAACAGCCTCCCAGCCTTCGAAGAGGATTACGGTGATTTGCCCAGCATTTAACTACAAAGAGTATTGAACTTGAACAACTCAAACGATCGAACTTCCACTTTGAGATGTTGCTTTCCTCTTCTCTTGAGAGCAGAGCTGGAAAGAAACGTGTGATTCTCCAGAGACCTTGGCGAGAAGTGGCAAAAGCAGAGCTCTCTGGGGTGGGCAGCGAGGCATTCTCACAAGGGAATTTGTGTAAGCAGTTCAGTCTGTCCGGCTGGCCGGATGGTGAGTTCAAACCTAGACGACGCAGTGTTTATCCAGGGCTACTTTTCTGCCCGTCCACTCGGCAAACAGCCAGCGATAGTGAGCTCAGAGGCTGTGTGTTTCTGCTTCAGGCTGAAACATGGACCCAGAAGGGGCTCTTTAACAGGGAAGGAACCAGGGAGAACTGGGAATCCACTGGGATGAAGGGACATTTTCTGTCCATTTCTGAAATGAACAGATCTTCCGTAGTGACTTCAAGGAGCCTGAGTCATGGTGGGATTTGGAGTATGTAAGATTAAGTCTGAAGTCAGATAATAATCCATTAGTCCTCAAGTGCCTTCTGCACTTGCTTTTTTAGTGATTTTTATTCTCCCCATATATCTCCATCTCCACCCCCCGCCCCAACAGCTTCCTGTTCTTGATGGCTCCTACCTTTCCCAGAATTACTCTATGCTCCTGCGAACCCTGGGCTCAGCTGGGATTTCCAATCATTAGTCCTGGCCGCAGCTTCGTGTCACAAAGATTTATTTGTCCCTTTGACTGAATTTTGGTGGGAACCTGAGTGCTGGGAATCCACCCAGGCCCTTCCCTCCTGACCCTGCCGCAAGAGCTTTCTGAGGTCTGGCCTCACAGGCTCTGAGGACCAAAGAGAGAGAAAACTTGGAAAAGGGATTTTTTTTTTTTTTTTTTTTTTTTTTTTTTAATCACGGTCCTGGAGTATTGCGTAGACCGCTTCATTCCAAATAACCAGCGACACTGTGTCTCGGAGACAGAAAAGGACAGGCTCCTCGCCCCTCTGAGGAGAGAACCTGGGGAGCATTCAGTGCCTTCTGCGGGCTCTTTCCAGGGTTTTCCCAAGGCGGCGGAGAGGGGTTGGGGGTTGTGCAGGACGAGCGCTGGACTCAGGTTTTCTCTATCTTCCAGACTCTGTTTCCAGAACCTCACTTCTCTTCCTGAGTTCCCTCCTCTGCTTTCAAAAGCATATGGGAAACCAGGCCCGTGCCTTTCTCTTTAGGTCACCAGATTCCGTTATGGGGCTGGCAGCGAGTATAGCCCCAGGTCCTGTTAGGGCATGTGAGTGGTGGTGGGTGAGATTTGCCAACCTCTACGCTCTGGGGGATTTTAAGTGTTCCAGGACTGGCTGTTCCCCTAGTCCTCCTTTTCCCTTCCCTCCCCTCCCTGACCCCTCTGCTGCTTCCCTGCCTGCAGACTCAGGGGACGCCAAAGGTGGAAGGGAGCTCCTACCCCTGCGGAAGAAGAGCCACCCAGTTGCCCCAGCTGCCTACACTTAGTTCTCCGCTGTCCGTCCTCGCCCCTCCAGCGACTCCCTGGGCCTGAAGCACCAGGCCAATCTGAGACACCCCTCCCGCTTTGAAGGAGGCTGGGCTGGCCAGGGGGTTATTTTGGGAGCAGCTTCTGAGATCCAATGGCCTTGTTAGGGCAACACTGACCTTTCCATCCCAGGAGGAGGGCAGGATCCAGAGAGGGGCGGGGCAGCGACAGGGAGATCGACAGCCCCGCACACCCACTGGGTGGAGAAGGGGGCCTGCCCGGCTGCAGGAATTCAGCCTCAGGCTGGGGGCTGTCACCAAGGAGGAATTTCCCCTTTTCAAAACGGACCGGGGACCCCTCCACCCCACCCCTTTCACTGTGCTTCTTAAAGGGATCACACCGTTTTTCTTCTGACTCCAAGGAAGCCAGACTTGGGACGCTCTTTGAAGACTTTGAATCTTTCCCTCCTGCTTCCTTCCCAACTGGCAGCCTTCCTGTGGCTGGTTGAGTCGGGACCTCCCAGGCATGGCACTGACCAGGCGACCCAGTGCTGACTTGGTGCCAGGGCTCATTCAGCCTCTGGTGGCATCTTGCTTCCTCTCTCCTGGGGCGCAGTGGTGAGTTAGGGGCGCCCAGCCCTGAGTGTGCTTGGAGCGTGTCATTGGCACCCCCTATCACCCTCTCTCCCCCAAGCTGGAGGACGGTGAGGCTGTCAGGGGCTATGATGAGATGAGTGGGGGCCGCTTTGACTTTGATGATGGCGGGGCATACTGCGGGGGCTGGGAGGGGGGAAAGGCCCATGGACATGGACTGTGCACAGGCCCCAAGGGCCAGGGCGAATACTCGGGCTCCTGGAACTTTGGCTTCGAAGTGGCGGGCGTCTACACCTGGCCCAGTGGGAACACCTTCGAGGGATACTGGAGCCAGGGCAAAAGGCATGGGCTGGGCATAGAGACCAAGGGGCGCTGGCTTTACAAGGGCGAGTGGACACACGGCTTCAAGGGACGCTACGGAACTCGGCAGAGCAGCAGCAGTGGTGCCAAGTACGAAGGCACTTGGAACAACGGCCTGCAGGACGGCTATGGCACCGAGACCTATGCCGATGGAGGTGAGCCCGGCCTGGGGCCAGCAGAGCTAGTAGGAGCCAGACCCGTGAGGAAGACCGGTGGAGGATGGGAAGAGGGAGGGGCAATGTGACACAGAATCAGAAGAGCCAGGATGTTCTTGCTGTGTGGCGTTGGGCAAGCTGCCCTACCTCTCTCAGCACCCATTTCCTCATTAGTGAAGGTTGGGCCAGTAGCAGGGCCATTGAGTAGTGTCGGACAAGACCTGCTGTATAACTACACAGCACACATTCAGTAAAATCTAACTACTACCGTTGGCATGGTAGGATTACAATCAGCCATGGAATATACTCTGGCTTGTGCTCTAGAAGAATTTGGGTCTAATCTCAACTTTGCCATGAAAATTATTTTCAAGCCATAGATTATGAAGTATTCATTCATTCACCCATCCATCCACCCACCCACCCATCCATCCATCCATCCATCCATCCATCCATTGTTTTGTTTACAGCCTATTTCTGTTGTACCTCCTATTTGCCAGGTATTATAAAAAGAGTTAGATATAAAAAGGAATAAGATAACAGCCCAAGGTTTCAAACACTGGCTTGTAGATAAACAATTATATACAAGTAGGTAGACTGCTGTGCTAAAGAAGTTAGATTTGAGGAGGTCAGGGACTGCTTTAGAACAGGTGACATCTGAGCTGGATCTTGTTGGGAAAACTGCTTTAGAGAGAGAGCACGTGAGTGGGGAGAGCAATGAGTTAGAAGCTCAAAAGCATGAGCGCTCCCAGTGGGTTAAGGAGATGAAGAGGAATTTTCTGTGGCCAAACAGCCATGGGAAGTGGCAGAGAAGATATCATCACCTCATCCCCTGGCTGTGACCTTGCATATATCACTTAGTTGGGCCTCAGTTTCCTGATCCACAAAATGGGCTTTAGAATGTCAGGTGCTGCTCAAAATGTGGTCATTGGAGAGGGAGTACCAACATCATCTGTCCACCAGTTAAAATGCAAACTCCGGGGCCCCATCTAGACCTGAATCTGAATCAGAATCTCCAAGGGTAGGCCCAGGCATTTAACGAGCCCCCCCTGGGAATTTTTATATACGTTAAAGTTTAAGAAGCATTGCTTTACATCAGGCACTTTCCAACTATAGAGAGCCGGCCCAGCTGGCCTGCTGCCCGTTTTTGTACAGCTTATGAGCTGTAAGTCGTTTTACATTTTGAAATATTTGAAAAAAATCAAACGTTGAACTCTACTTTGTGACATGTGGAAATTACAAGAAAGTCCCTACATCATCTCCCTTTGGTCCACTGAGCCTGTAATATTTACTTTTCAGCTGTTTACAGGAAAGTTGGCTGGCTCTGCTTTAAATGGTCATTCAGTTTCCTTCCGGCTCAGGATACTTCTGTGAAGTCTCCTTCACATGCCCCATTGGAAAGAGTTGCTGACACGGATGACTCAAAACTATAGCTACTTGAACAAAAATAGGTTGGCGTCTGTCAGAAGGCATTCACAGTATATTAGATGTGTCACTAGTCTCCCCTCTCTATGACAGAGGGCAGGAAGTGGGCAGTCTGGGAGTGGGTTTGGGGTGGAGCAGGAAGGCGCACGAGCCAGCCCAGGGTGAAAGTTATGGTCAAGTCGAAGCCTGTACAGGGGGGCGTCAGGTCCAGGATGCTCCCGACTGGGCTGCCTGCTGGTGGGGGTCTGGTGAGGGCCCACCCTCAAGTGTGGCTGGCTGTTAAGAGGTTGTGTCCCCAGAGTTTCTGTGGGTACAGTGGTAGCGACACAACACTGGCTGGACAGTGCTAGGACAAATTCTGGCTCCACGCTTCCTAATTTGGTGACCTTCAGCCATTTGCCAAACCTCTACAGTTCAGGGCAACTCAATTTCCTGGATGTTTATGCTGGCCACTGCGCTGAGCAGTGGGGACGAGTAGGGAACAGGCCCCAGTTTCTCTGGCTATAACGTGGAGAGGATCCTCGAGGGCTGGTTGGGTGTCAGTTATCTATGCAATGTGGTACACAGGATGCCAGATGTCTCTTCCCTCTTTCCTCTCTCCAAGCCAAGGTGTGTGTGTTGAAGGCCTGGGTGTGAGTCGTAGAGACACACATTCCTGGGAAACTATGGACTGATTTCCCAATATGTCTTAGAGGGAGGGAAAACCTATTCATTCACTCATTCGTTCATGCAATCAATATTATGGAGCACCAGCTACGTGTTGGGCACAATCCCACAGCAAATTCCAGGAGCCAGGGCAGGGAGCAAGGAAAATAGAGAAGGAAGAGGATGACTTTTTGGATAGCGTGGTCTGGGAAGCAGGATGGGAGGACTCGGGAGAGCGTAACGCCTTCCAGGCAGAGGGAATGGCAGTCACAAAGGCCCTGAGGCAGAACTGGACTTGGCATATTTGAGCAACAGCAGGAATGCCAGGGTGGCAAGAATAGAGTGGATGAAGGGAACAGCAGACAGGGGCTGACGTTGGAGCTGTGAGTGTGCGCCAGATCACGTAGGCATTGCAGAGCCCCGGGTTTGATTCTGGGTGTGCGCAGGAGCTCTTCAGGCCCGCTTAACTGCAAGACCTGCTCTCGGGCCGGGTTAACTGAAGATCTGCTCCTCTGGTTTGTTAGAAGCCCAGACTCTTCTTCCGAATGAGACAGTCCCACATCCAGGGGCCCTGGAAACCTCACGGATCTCTCTCTCAAGCCACACACGAGGTGCAACACTCCAAAATTAGATGTGGCCACTGCTTTGGAAAATCTCTTTAATCAACCTGTCATCGGTTCCCTAAGGGTTTGTTAAGGACCTGCCCTTTGCTCCAGCCGGAGCAGAGCTGAAGAGAATGCAGACAATTAAGATCCGGGATTAGAAGCAGCTGGGAGTCGGGGAGCTCTGCGTTATTATCTTGGCCTATCCCATGATTTCATACCATGGAGCCTCAGTTTCATCACCAATAAAATGGGCTTATGCTAATCCCTCCTAAGATTTCTTGTGGGGAAAATGGGTACTCGATAAATTGTAGTTGTTATAATTACTCTCATTAATTCACTCCACTAATATGTACAGAGTGATTATCATGAAGCTGGCGGTATCGTGCTGGGAGGGAGGAGTGTAGAAATGAGCAGAATGGAAATGGTCCCTATCTTCCACAGAATCTACAAGAAATCATGCTATAGGGTGTCGGGTGCTAGGTAGGAAAGTGGGGACTAAGGGAGGAAGAGGCAGGCAACTAACCAGACTGAGGCATTCAGGAAGGCTTCCTGGAGTAAGTGGCAAGCCGGACTCTGAAGTAAGGAGTGAGGCAGGTGGCAGGGGTCAAGGATGAGTGCTCCAGGTTGAGGGAACAGAGTACACGAAAGCCAGGAGGTCTAGAACTTGCTGCCAGCCAGGAGATAAAGCTGAAGCTTGCATCTTATCCCTAGTGTTAGGAGGTACTGATCAGAGGGACCAAATGTCCCATTTCCTGCGGTCCCCACCTTACCTTGCAGTCACAGGAAACAGCAGTGTTCCAAACTGGAAGCACTAACAGGAGGTAACTCCAGTTCAGGGCGTCATGAGCGGCATTTTTAAAAATGAAAGAACAGAACATAAAAAGCAGTGCATTTCACAGCGCATAAGAAAGCATTGTTTCCTGAAACGTCTGTTCAGCTGAAGATACACGTACACATACAATGTGTGTAGAAAGGCTTCTGTGTTTACACGCAGTGTGTATTTCTTACCTGATGTCTGCATACATGTATTTCTTACTGCAGGTCAGGGTCAAAAAAGTTTGAAAATCACGGCTCTAAAGTGACTGGATGTACAGCTTCATCGAAGCCGTTGCCCCTCCCCCCTCCACAGCCTCTCCCTCTCCTCCACGCCTGTCGCCTGTCATGTCAGCTGGAGGTTGAGGAAGTTGTCCAGCTCTTCCCTGAGGAGGGGAAGGTGGCAAGGCAGCGAGCTCCCGCTCCCAAACCCTGCTATAAGCCTCCTGGCACCCCTCCCCCGCCTACAAGCCCTCTTCCTGCCCTGGCCATATAGAGCAAAACCAAAAATAGCTGCTGGCTTAAAGCCCCAAAGCAAGCATTCACCCAGGCCTTAAGTAGTAATGCTCCTTTGGCAGCCTAGCTGTTCCCACCCCAGAGACCCACAGACTCCAGGACTAGAAGGGCCACTGGTAATCTTTGCTTTCCGAGGTCCCTGACCTGGAGCCCCGGCCTTGGCCTCAGAGGCCCATCAGTGTGCAGGCCATATGTGGGCCTATGGGCAGGGATTGCCTGTGTTTTTCCTCAGATCGCCTTCAGATTCTCGAAGTAATCTGCTAAGTTCCAGAAGCACTCAGCTAGTTGGCAGTCCTTTCCCCCAAATGTGCAGTGGAAAAACCAGGCCCAGGGGTGCCCAGGTGGCTCAGTCGGTTAAGCATCTGACTCTGGATTTCCACTCAGGTCATAATCTCGGGGGGGTCGTGAGATCAAGCCCAGTGTCAGTTTCATGCTGGGCACGGAGCCTGCTTCAGATTCTCTCTCTCCCTCTCCCTGTGCCCATTCTCTGCTCTCTCACTCACTCCCAAAAACAAAACAGAACAAGCGCAAGGTTGACTTTGCTTATAAAGCCAGTCATAATAATAGTTAATTTTTGGTTACTTATGTGCAGGTGCTTACTATGTGCAGGTGCTAACTATGTGCAGGTGCTAACTATGTGCAGGTGCTGCTCTTGGCATGGAACATGTGTTACTTAAACCTTCACAGCAACCTTATGGGGAAGTTCTGTTATTACCCCCATCTTACAGAAAAGGCAAAGGAGACAAAGAGTTTACGTACTGTGTTCTCTCTCACAGTCCTCTAACTAGTAAGAAGCAGTGATAGAATTTGGTAATAAGGGATAAGAATAAGGTAATAAGGAATAAGAATTGGTAATAAGGGATAATTAAATAGTTCATAGTATATGGGGCACCTGGGTGGCTGGTTAAGCTTGGACTCTTGGTTTCAGCTCAGGCCATGATCTCATGATTGTGGGTTCCAGCTCTGCATTGGGCTCTGTGCTCAGTACAGAGTCTGCGT